ATGATTTCATTACCGTATTCGTGCCCGAGATGCTGACTACTTCGGACGCGCGAAAACGAGACGATTAACTTGCACACTTGAGTGAGTAGTTGGAAGCGAAGATATAATGCCGGGCGCGCGAGTGACAGGATATTCATAAATCTATTTGATGGTAGAAAGTCCTCTCACTATTATTCTATAACCCAGAAACTTGTATGTTCACTCTTTGAGTTTTTCGTGTCGACAGCCATACGTAACTGCCTGGCGTTACAGCTACGTATCGATCGTAGAATAATTTGAGCCTGCAGAGCCCAAACCTAGGCACGAGATCTATTGGTCTGCCATTAGTCGTCTGACTAGGCTCTTTACGTACCAAGCATTATAATAAAGTCGACAATATTAGTTAATAAAAATAAAAACCAGAAAGGGTAATTTATATTTATATGTGTATAACGAGCAAAAAAAAAAAAAAAAAAAAAAAAAATTATAATGCCAAATTATTTGAATAATCTATGCACAGCAATCATGACTTGATAGTAATTATTCATAAATAGCAATTCATGTAAAAATTTCTATGGCTTTCCGAATAAGCCATATGTATTCCAGGTGCAATACAGGCAGTCTAATTTAAATCGCTAAAAATAAAGAAAGAAAAAAATATTATCAAAGAAACGCCTAATTTAAAAGATATGCGTTAAATTAATGCATGATAGTATGATATTTTGCAACATTTTTTAACGAAAAAATGATTTTAAATAAATGATGATAACGTTTGTAAATTATTTTTTTTTTTTTTACAATTTACAAAATTATATAAAACTTTATATTTATGATATGATATGTATGAAATTGTTTATTATTAATAATTTATTTCCGATAATGCAAATACTCGCTCTACTCCGCTGTTTATATTCAGTGCAATCTATGATAAAAATTCAGTCAATGCCATTGTCAATGCCAATTCTATCTACACGAAGTTATTGTTGAGTTGTAATTTAAATGCAATTTACTTGAAAAAATCGCCTATTCGAGCGCTATATCGCACTGATGTATCTATAGAAGCAAAAAAAAAAAAAAAAAGAAAAAAAAAAGCAAAAAAAAAAGAAAAAGAAAATACTAACCGTAACGAGCGCTTTAGAATGTCCAGCGAGAGTAGGATCGCGTAACAATAAAAAAATCGACGGAAAGCTCGTGTCGGTTGGGCCGGCAGTTCGAAAACGTCGTCGTCCTGTGTGGCGATGCGCCTCTTAGCCCTGCCAACATAAAATCAAGCCATTTATGGGTTAGGAACCTTCGTAATTCACATCATTGTCCATCCGCAATATTTACTGCGGCCTTCGTTATAGCCGCTGGGTATGTGTATACACCACGTGCATTGCCGTCGTAAGGCAGAACTCACACGTTCTTGATAACTTTGGCTCGACGACGACTGAAGCCGACGCAAAGAAAAAGAAAAGGGCACTCGCGAATTCTACGGCATAGTGACGCATGTAAAGTTACATCGGTAAATTCTGTGAATGCTTCATGAAAAGAATGTTTCGTTTTTTCCGACGGTACGAGTGTGTTTAAATTGTGATTTAAACGAAAAAGCCGGCACTTACGAGCGCTGTTTCAGAATGTATGAAAAAATATCAGAAGCCGTTAAATGTGAACGACAGATCCTCTATGTGATACTTTAATGTTATTTTCAATATCATTACTTTCTCACTGATGAAGAAAAATATGTGCGTTGATAGCCTTAGGCGATCTTTGAATTTCAGTTGAAAACGGTAACTAAAATTGTAACGTCCAGACAATAAGAATATATTTTATATTATTCTATTCATTGTGAAATACTTTTTGTAAATTTTGACATTTAATTTGTTAAAAACTTTTGTATAACTATAAATTGTTTAATAAATTATTTTGTACGACTTAAAGCCATTTATAATGATAGTTAAAAGAGATTCAGACGTAAATTTAATTTAATAAAGATCTACTACTTAAAAAGTAATATGCAAATACTTTTATTCATAAATAATTATGAAAATTTATTGAAAATTACGAATTCTTAATTATATAGATGACAAAATTCATTCGTAATTTGAATATTTATTTATAATTAAGTAGTTTTTTATAAGTGTACAAAATGTTAGTAACGTTACGACTGTAATAAACGAATAATTGCTGAATTTTAGATATTTATATACTTATATGAATAAACAATTTTTTATATTTTAATCATTTAAAATTATAGATGTCAATTGAAATGTCATCAATGTATTTATAGAATTAATACTGTGTAAGTATAATTATAGTTTCAAGCACCGATTATAGAGATGTTATATTTATTTACAGTAGGAAGATATTTGGCGAATATACTTTCATAACTGATTGCGTTCGAACAATTAGTAAATCCGATACTTGTGATTAAAAATTTATTCACGATTTTCTTCATTTGCAACATAGATTATAGTATATAAATAATTGTAACAATATTTCAGATCTTATATAAAGGTTAATAAAGCATAAGAAAATAAACAAATACTTGGAATATATATATATATATATATATATATATATATATATATATATATATATATATAAACAACGCTCGAGGGCTAGTTGAAATACCTCATTTTGCAATTTCAAGTAGAATTAAATTATTCCAATATCGGTTGACGCATGTCTTTTCTCCCATAATTTGCTCTCTACAAACACTATAGAGAAGGTTTTATCGTTGGATAACCTATGAATAATTCAAGATCTTACATTTAACTATTGTAATAGAATTCGTGGTCCGCACGTCGGAGTTCATACTCGCGGTTCGTTTTATCACTCATATTATGTTTCGCGAACTCGCTTGTTGGACATATTTTTTATACTCGTTTATTCACGAATGAGTCTTACCCATACCGATATTATAACCTGGAGCACAAACTATTTAAGACCGCAAAAGTAACAAGCCCCGGGTCCTTTCCTGTGCACTTTTACACGCTATACCCATGCTAAGCACCCAAACGCTGCATCTTTTGGACGTAATACCAGCATTTACAAGCAACTCGTAAAATAATATCAGTATATACCTAAATGCTGATTGACTGAAAATTAAATACGAGTGTAATAGTGATAACGAAATAATAAAATTTTTTGTGACACGTGTTTTTCTCGTTTTTTATGCAATATTATTATTTTTTTTTTTTTCTGCTTTATCCATAACTTCGAAACTATATTTAATTTCAAATAGCTTATATGCAATTAAGATATTTATGTTTTATTATTTTAAATGTTTTATCATTATTATTGTTTCAATTATACTTTTCCGATATTATGAAAATTTATTTTACATCTTGATTATTATTTTTTTCATTTAATCTTTCATGCCATAATAAATGATTTTATTAATTATTAAGTAACAGTAATTAAATAGTAGTAATTTATCTTTTTCTTTTCAAAATTAATTAAATATCTAATGTGATCCATATTTTAAATATGAGCAATGCTATTATTTTGTTATCTCATTATATATGGACGAATTGTATAGAAAATTATTTATTAAAATAATTTGATGTACGCTATGTTATGGTCTATGGTAAATTCAAATAAAATAATACACTATATAAGTAACATTATTTAATTTTAATCTTAACTTATTAGTTTTATACGAAAAATTAAACAAGAATTGTTATGAAGTTTTATATTCATATAATTTAATATCAAAATACTTTGAAATTGAACGATTTTTGTTCAAAACAAATTTATTAAAAAAATTTACAAATAAATAAAATATAAAAGGAAATCAAATGTCTGTTAGATATAATATTATTTTTAATTTGCAAGAAACTGTTTTAAAGTTATTAATAAAATTTATTACAATGTGACAATATTTATATATTGCAATTATCATTATTAGTTAAGGAAATATACATTAAATAAAAATAAAAGAAATATTGTATGACACTAAAATTTACGATATTAGTTTATACATAATCTATACAACTTTTTATTTTCTTAAATGTAAATTGAAGATGTAACTTATAAAAAGAAAAGAAGCTTAATACTATCTTTCATTGAATACTTATATAAAAAATGTTTTATAATAGTTATAAAAAATTTAAGCATCAAACGCCATAGTTGATATATAGAAAATAATCAAATATTAGTGAATAAAAATAAATAATGTAACTGAACTGCTAATTCAAGCATAATCTTGTTACATAACTAGTATAATATAAAAAAGTTTATGACAGTATAACACATAAGGTATAGAGATAGTAATCTGTATTTATACGAAAACAAATAATAAAAGCAGAGTGTAAATATAATACCTTATAATCAATTATCTTAGATCTATTTTATATAAAATAAATCAAATTGTACTTGATTAAATATTCGTTTAATTTATAATTAATAATATTAAGTATTTTAATGTTTATATAAATGTATGGAATTTAAATGTAATAAAATTTCTTCAATCGAAATATCACAATATAATTAACGATACAATAATAGAAATAAAATTAGAAAATAAATTCTTGTTATACATATAGTTAGTACATTAATGAATAACTATATATATATATATATTTTTTTTTTTTTTTTTTTTATAAAATTAACATGGAAAAATTTTGGAGAAATGATTTGTCGAATTTATTAAATATTATTATATTATTGGTGTATTATAAATTATTAAATAAAATTTAAGATCTCTCATATAAGGTTGTCACGTGCTATATCATGTATTATTATATAATTTGCTTCGTAAATAATGATTATATGGTTGTAATAAATTACGACTGTACATATATATATATATATATATATATATATATATATATATATGTGTGTGTGTGTGTGTGTGTGTGTGTGTGTGTGTTTGTTTAGTGAAACATCATTTATTTAATGCTTATTTACATTAGTGATAAAAAAAAATTATATAACCAAAACCTTATCATAAAAAATAGACTTATTAAGTAAATTGACATTTATGAAACTATATAAATTGGTGCTCATTTGTTTTTCATCACACTATTCGTATTAAGATATTTTACAAATATATAAAAATGTCGAAGACATTGACAACAATTTTCTTTACAATTTTACTTGTTTCTTTACTTACATTACAAATAGGTAAGAAAAAATATTTAAAATATTTTAAATAATTAATATACAAATTCAAGTTAAACAATGAGTTGTGTGATAAAAAAATCAAGGAATGAAAAATATTTCAATAAAAATTTCATAAATAATCTTAAAAATATGTACTTAAATTATTAAATAACAACTAATTATTTTTTTAATATATGCTTAATTATTATTTTAATTATTTCTTTTTGAAAATTTCTAATTTATTATGAAATTCACATTATTCTAAATATAAAATTATCTATTTATTCAAATAATCTAATTTCTAATCTATTTTCTAATTTAAATTACGCGTTAATCTTTTGATATCTTACTCTTGTATAACTGAGATGTACTTGATATATAATTGCACTTCAATTATATAATTACTTATGTTTTAATTTTATTTTTACCATTATTTATCAAATTTTATTCAACATGAATTTAGTTTTAAACATTGTTAATACAGAATTTAATAAAGTAAGTGCTTATTATTATGCATGAAAATATTGCTTTATTCATTTATAAAATAATGGTATGCATTTATTTACTAATAATTATAAATATACTCAGATAATTTATTTTATTAGTCGTAATTTATCAATATTAATCTCATTGTTTCATTATACAGAATAATATTTGCGAATTGTTAATAATTTTCTTAATGCGGTATCTTAATGTAGTTCTGTATTCAAGGCATTAAAATTCTGTAAAAAAAATTTTGTAAAATCAAATTTATACATGTAGCAAATTACACACTTATATCAAACTGTATAAAATTATGTAATAACAATATATATTATTATGTATTCAATTATATCATTAATTACTGTAATGTACGATTAATACTTAGAATACATTTTAATCCAATTTCATGCAGTGATATTTTTATTCAAAAGTAATTATACGCCGATTTATGTATTATAATTAAATATGATCACAAAATTATTGTTCTCTACGTTCATTATGTCATATTGAGTAATTTGAATTTCGTAATAATGTAATAAATGAAAATATAATATTCTAATAATTATTTTGTCATCTGCAAAAAAGGTAATTTTTAATATCTATTGATTTAATGTCAGTTAAAAAGATTTCGTTAGCCAAAATTATTTCTTTTTTCAATTGCCATTTTTATTATTAAAATTATTCCCAACGTTTGAATATAGGATATTTTATTATTGGAATATATTATAAATAGAAAATATATTATAAAATATGAAATGTAATAAATTTCGTGGCTTCAAATTTTAGTCTTATTATCTTGCCAAATTTTATGTTTCCTATAAACATAGAAATATTAATCTTTTATATACGCAAAATATATTTTTTTTTTGTAATATAAATAAATATAATAAAATGGAAAGTGAAATTTATAGAGCGATTGTTTGTATTAATGTAATCTATTATTCAATGACAGAATTTATAATCTAATTCAACTTAATTCATTTTTAGATAAAGCTGTTGCAGATTTAGTTTCTGACTGTATGCAAAAATGTACAGGTAAAACTAATTGTTGCCTATAACTTTAATATTCATATCCAATTTTAGTTTTATGCAATTCAAAATTAATTAATTCAAATTGAATTTTTGTAGATGAAGTTAAGAAAAATCCATCATTTAATGTACAATTATGTTACTCCTATTGTATGGGTATGCATCATTTTACTGGACAATTCGTCCAATTACAATTAATATTATGATATTTAAATCATTTGTATAATAATGAAATAATTACACAAATTTTTATAATACTGACTTCTTTTAGATCCAAAATCTCCATTCGCTAAAGATGTTGTAAAACCTACGAGTGAGTGTTCATTGACTAAAAATAATTATCTATTCAGAAACAATTACTTTTCATAGTTAAAAAAAAACTGTATCTATATTTAAATCATAAATAATATAGAAAAGTGTTGCTAATAGTCAAACAAAAATTCTTAATTGTAATTAACATTTATTTGCAAAACATAATTACTATTTAGAATGTAGAAGCTCGTATTATTTAATAATATGTATTCAACATATATTTTTACAGAAGTGACACATTCAACTATAATTTTAATAAGTTTAGTCTAATAAATTCATTATATGAAATAATTTGCAAGTTCATTCGACAATAGATTCTTTAATATTTAAAATTTTTATTCTTAAATTACTCTATATTTGTATATATTAATTAATTTAATTTTATGCTGTTTAAGGTGATGTCACCAAATGTCTTGATAAATGTTCAAGTAAGCAAAAATTATATAACATAATTTTTTACATGCTAACTTATTTTTACTATCGAACTAAACAAAATATTATATTTCAGAACAAGGATTAGCTAATCCAACATTTGATATGAGAGGCTGTTTCAACAAATGTCAATAAATTATATCCAGCCAAATTATAATTTGGCTTAATATTATAAATATAAATGCCATTTTTTTTATTTTATTATTTTATATGAAACAATTTAAAAAAAAAATAAATCTAATATTTTAGTTACATATTATCTTATCAATAATAATATAATTATATAATAAATATTTTGAAAAATTATTAACGTAATAAGTGTTTTATTTAAGACTACGTAATATATAACGTTCAATAAAATAAGTGTTTAGTGCTATTATGTCGAAAAACATAGATTTTTCAAGAATACATTTATTAATTTTCATAATAATATTGAACACCTCAATATCTGTAATTAATTGAAAATAGAATTTTCTAGTTAATAAATATATTAACTACGAGTAAATTGTTCTCTATGCATATAAAACTATAATATCGATCACCATTTGATTAAATTTAGATTCTCGCTCTGCAGTATAATAGCCCTGACCTAGCCATCTTGCATTCTCAAGTTTGAAACACAGACTTTCCATTACCAGGTCTACAGTACTGGCATATATCCAGTAAGGTAGATACCCGAATGCGCATGCGCAGGACTGTTTAGAAGTTCTTTATCTGCTTCTATTCTATTTTCTATTATAAAACCAATCATTTTAAAATGAATATAGAAATTATGTATAAAAATTAAAAAATTATAATATATGGTGATTATCTACGTATAAACTATATATGTATATATACATTTATAGAATATTATACATATATATATATATATATATATATACAAATATATCTTGTCATTACAATATTAATTTATGTAATCGATATTTTATTTGAATTAAATGTGATGTAAAAATTAAAAGACAAACAATTATTTTTCGACTAATTAACATATAAATATAATATTTTTCTTTAAAATACAAAATTTAATACATTTTTAACGATGAAATTGCATTACTGTGTGTAATTAATGAATTAATAGCTTTCTTAGAATGTTATATGAAAAAAAATACTAACATTGGCTTTGAAATATTAAATAATAAGAAATCTTAATTTTATAAGATTTATTACACATCAATTACAAAGAAGAGAAGAGAGCATATATATTTTTAATACTCGAATAGGAGATTATTATAAACGATTATTTAACGAATTAAAATACTATAAAATATTACCTTCAACATATCTATTATTGGAAATTTATTTGAAACTGTAGTTTTTGGAATTTATAGAAAAGAGCATAGATATTAACTTCCTATCCTTCTATAAAATGTCGTTTATTGACTGGGAAAATCGCTTATCGTGACGCATCTTACCAATCGTTCAACGGACCATCGACAGTGTCCTTTCCCCTTACATTGGCCTCTTCCGTACCTAAGAGACACAAGCGCGCACACAAAACTGATCCCACGCTCCCTTTTAAGTGTCAGCATCCTTTATTACGATACATTTGATTCAGTATCACGCTCCGTTTCCCTTTTTCACGACGACGCATTTTAGCATATGAAAAAACGGGCTCATATAAGAGGACAGCTTGGAATTGAATGGCAGGAGCTTTTGTCACTCAGAATCGCCTTCCTCCTATTACTCCCTTGGCTTATTCTATAAAAGTGACGACAGGTTGGTGCGCTATCGCCATGGAAGCGGACCAGGATCACGCCCGCGTTCTTAAGAGGCACATATTTGTTTGCTCAGTGGCTTCTTAGGATTTGTGACCGTTAATCATCAAAGGGCTATCATACGGTTAGCTGTGTCGAATTAATCGAAGTCCATACTCTATCGGGTTCACTTTAATAACAAGTATATATAAATAACTCAATATATAAATAATATCCATTAAAGTATGCCGAAGTAATATTATAATAAATTATTTATACAAATTTTAATTATTTAAATAGATTTGAATGAATATTTTAATATTAGCTCAATCAAATTAAAATACTCTATTATTATGATATTTTTAAAATACTTGACTTAATAAATAAACGTGCGCACGCGTGCGCTTTCATGCATACAAACATATACTTTATAGTGAATTGTATAGTAAAGTTTATTATACATATATAATAAAACTTCATGTCAGCAGCTGTAATTTCTAAATTGAGTCTATTTACGCAAATAATATGAAGTCTAGTACGTTTATAATAATTAGCTGGTCATATAAATGTCGAGACTATTGTATTAAACTTTGATTATGAAGCTGACATATTTGTATATGCGTTAATTCTATTTCATTAAAATTTGATTGTCTTGAATAAAATGTAGAGAAATATAACACGAGACGTATAGGTGGGTTTCAAAATAAATTCCTTTCCATTAAATATTAAATCCTATAATTATAATATTCCCCCCCCCCCTCTCTCTCTCTCTCTCTTTCACGCCATCCAACGTCCTCCCTACTCCTCTACACCACACTCCTTCTTCTTCTTAAACGTGGTGTACTTGTGCGCGCCCTTTCCTAATCCGAATTCTTATATGTAGCTTAATAAGTTCACTTTTCTCAATACAAATTGCTTAAGATGCAAATAAAATACGTAAATTATAGAACATCCGAGATAGTTCGATGGCTTCTTAAATAATTAATCCATAAAAATTAATATCAACGTGCATTTAAATGAAATTTAATCTCAACGGAAATTAGAGTTTGTTCAATAGATTAATTTATGAAAAAATTGCTCGAAGTCGCCTGAGCCTCATCTCTTACTTGTTTGACCGAGCATTTTCCGAAGAGGGAGCGTTCCGTGGCCACGGTTAATCGTCCGCCTCGGCGATAGAATAATGATTATTAAAAAGGTACCGTAGTTGCCTCTAGCCAAAACCACTCGTCCTCACCCGCGGTGTTCGACACCATAACTCGCGAATTAACAGAAGCCAACAAAAAGCGTCACGCAAAATAGATTTTCCCGTGAAATAAGGATGTGCGGTAAGTTTTCTTCTTTTACATTAACTTTTCTCTAACTTATCCAAACCACTTAGCTAATGAATATGTAATTTCATCATGCGAGCATTTATCTTAAACGCAATCGCTTTCGTTGATTAGCTACTTGAGATGCTTCGTGCAATATATTTTTCATTTTTGTGGGAAATTCTGAAAGGCTTATTAAAAGAACTGCGAGTGCTAAGCGATTATTTTAATCTATACATTGTATGAAAATTGGTACTCAACTATAACGGTACTATTATTCAACATAAAGGCATTTGCAAAAAAAATGATAACATTCCCTTGTGAATATTCTTCACGATACTATCTGATGTCACGCCTTACTTTCTTCTTTTTTTTTAAATATTAATTATTGGCCACGTAGGTTTGGAAACGCGCAATGTCACAAAATTATGAAAAGCGGTTATAGATTTTTGAATAGTCTGCGGATAATCGAATAAAAGAGAGAAGAAATATTTTGATGCACCATAAATTCCGCGCTCGTAAAAGACACTTTAAACACTTAGACCGGATTCTCTTCATTAATTACACCCGATTGCCCTGGGCGCGTATGGGTAACTTAACCCACTGGGTACGATACTTTCTTTGACCTCGAGTTGGAAAATTCGGTCTCTCTCTCTCTCTCTCTCTCTCTCTCTCTCTCTCTCTCTCTCTCTCTCTCTATTCTCCACCTCTTGCAATTCTAAACCTTTAAGGACAGCGGGGAGTTTTTCGCCTAATTTAACAGCCGGTAGCTTGCAAGTGGCAGAGCGCGGCCCGCTTCAAAGGTTCCTTATAAGACGTGCTGAGAGAAGAGGAAAACAATGCCGAGGTTGAAACGGATACCGGGACATAGTTTGATATGGAGAATGAGGGAAAGGAGCAAGAAGACGAGCGCCGCTTAAAGCCTCTACATTTCTTTTCCGCGCTTCGCTTCATTCATTAGATTGTGAACTCGCGCTTCCATCGCCGATTCTACGCTCGCTTTGTGGTAAACCGCCCGTGAATATTTTGTGTTTTTTTTCCTTTCTCCAAGTCTTTTCTCTTTTCACGGGGAAAATACAGCTCTTCGATCCATGCCGTACTTTGAGCAGCTGAAGAAAGCAGCGATCTTTTCGGCTGCCCTGTGCCTGTTTATTTGTTACGATTAATCTTACGGGTTACGAAACTGAAAAAAATATTTTACAATCGGATGTACACCCATCGTTACGGGCTATGTTTATTTGATCTATTTTGTTCTCGATTATCTATGCATTAAAGTTTACCCAATGGAATTAGAAATCTGACCGATCGATCCGTTCATTATGACTTTGGTTTAATATTAGCCGTGAATATGTTAAGTAAAGCATCAATTAAATACTTAAAAATATTAAAATAAGATTTTTGCTTTCTTTTATTCAATGAGTATATATATATATGATTTAATTATGTACTATAAAGCGCATAATAGTGTCATAACTGGCATTAAACTTTAGTTAAATACTTATTTATGAACAGTAGTTTCGTGCACTCTAAACTAAATTAATTGTTAAAGCTTAATTTTTATTGATATTTTCATTTCGTGGATCTCACTTATTACTAGTCTACAAAACTGAAATTTAATACACCACCGAATTTATAATATTAGATTGAGTATAACATAACCTATGCTTTGCAAGTCAAGGAACAGCTACGTAAAGCATTGTTAGACAATGAGAAACAAGTTTAATGTGAGCGGTTGTATGCAATCTTAATCGCTCGTTTGACAGTAAAACGTTTTCATAATAATTAATACAAACAGTCTATCTGATATTAGTTTTCAACAGCTTTTCAATATCTTATCGGTGCTTAATCTAAATTAATTATTTTGCGAAAGACAGCCGCGCAGTTTTCTTGTTACACGGCGATTCTCCCGAAGCTACGCAAAAAGTGATCGTTAGTGCCTACGGCTGACATAACTTCACGACTGGTTCTTCCATGCAGTGAAGATAGTATTTCTCGATTAACGGCCATTTATGTAAGTATTCGCAAGAGTCGCGAGATATTCTATGTACGTTCTACCTTACGAGCTACATTGTCAGTAAATCTTCGCGATATATAAACCGAGCACAAGAACGTGGCGGCCAGGA